CTGCTGTTTGTACAGCTTTTTATTTATTTTTGAAGTCATTCATCAGTATTCCAAAAAAAGAAGAAACAAGAAAGGCCATACACTCTACTGACACTAGTAATCGATGAAAAAAGCTATGCAGTAATTGAACGAATGATTAAAAAATTTGAGGAAGCGCTCTCATAGACGCAAGGCCCAGATGGCCGTAGCCGTAGTAGATTTAATCATAAAAAGGGTAGGGTGTCGAAAATGTTAAACTTCGTCGACTTGGCACTCCAGTTTGAGCACTCAAATATTGGGGGAAAGAGAAACTTCAAAATAACTGCGCACATCCTATAGTGCGAAGGATTCTCTATCCAGACAGCGTAGAACTCTACTGATAAAATTTCAATCTTTAACTCAAAATTTTATTTAGATAGAAAGCGCCATTACTGACGGGCCAACGCTATACAATTGCGTTGTCTTTATTATAAACTACCAAAAATGTGCCTAAAAGTCAGTAAAAGCCTCTTATGGTAATAACAAAGCTGGCGGTGTCGTGAAAGCGATCTTGAAATCGCTGACCCTATACTAACTAATATTTGAAATTATCGTACCATCAAAAACAGTGTTTGTGATGCCACCCATATTCGCTTTTGAACCCATTCCGAGTGAAGGCGATTCCGAGGCTTACCTTCCTGGATCATTCAGGTTCCTCTTCTTGTACTCAAAAGAAACCAACTGAGCTGAGGAAGAAAGATGTCGAATGTTATTAATTACTTCTGCCAAACGAGGTTGTTAGATGAAACCTTTTCACTGGCCCGACGTTTCGACCTTCTCGTCTCCTTTAGAGGTCTGATAATGGCTAGAAGCTTTTAATTTGTCAACTAGCTGACCAAGCGCTTTCCCCACTCTAGTGTTTTCGAGGTCGTGTCGCGAAAGTTTCCGAACAACCGGTAATAGCTGAGAGCAACTCACCGAAGGTTCCATCGTGAGGAGCCTAGCTCTGGGTATTAGTAGGATTAGTGAGGACGAATGAGCCTCAGTTGAGTCTCATCTGTCGCATGAGTCAATTGGCAACTTACCATACTCTCTACTCCTGGTAGTTGTTGTTGGACGCTGCCGCAAAGTATGAACACAGTCCTGTCGCTTCTACCACAAACTGCGATAGCGAAGTAATATCGCCATCGTCGATATACACTAAGAGAAATATTTTATCTGATAAAGGGTAATAAGGCGCCCGGCCACATCACTTGGACAATAAGAAACCGTCTGAGGATAATATCACGACATTGGTGAACAACATTTTTTGATATTCAAATGGCAGATATTGAAAGGATATGAGCTCAAATTTGAAAAAAGTAATGGTGAATAAAATAATAGGACATAAAATAACATTCTAGTCCTAGGGGATTTCGAAAATCATCGCAACTGTTTTGCTGCACCCATCACTGTAGTAATAAATTACATTCATAAATAAAAACACAGAAAGAAATTTGAGAGCAATGTAGCATCCGACGAAAAAGATTGGCAAGGCATTTGTGGTGTTATGCGTAGTCCCGAGACCCGATAGAAACAAAAAAAAAACCATGAAAGAAATACGTCATCACAACAAGAACGTCAACATATAGTTTGATGGTGTTGAAAATATCCTTGGACAAATCTGGGCTC